AGGGGTGCAACTTTGTATATAGGTAAGTTTGGTTAAATTACAATAATTTGGACACCCCTACATGCACCTGCCCTGTGTCGGTTCTTATGCGGGACACCCTGTATAACAAGCATTATGGCATTATGCAAAATAAACTTTTTAATATTAAAAAAAAATCGGAATATTTAATTAATATATAATAATATATAATTAATAATATAATTTAGATATTTAATAACAATTAGTCATCGCGATTTACTTCAATAATAAAATTTGGTTTAATAGCGTACATTATCTGCAAAACAAAAACAAAAAATAAAAATTTTATTTTAAAAAAATAGAATAAAAATAGATCCCACTCTAGAACCTGTCTCATAAAGTTGCATATTGAAAGACGATTTTTTTCAGAATATTTTCAAGAAAAAAAAAACTCCAACTTTTTTCAAAATGCGCTTTTTGGTTTAAAAATAAAAAACTAAAAACATTATTTTTACATTTTTTTTTAAACTGCATCTCAAAACGAACACGTTATAGGTGTTTGAAATGTTTTACCCAAAATATTCAAAGTCTAACCTCTTGAGGGGAAGCTGCTCTAAATAGGTAAGTACTAAATAATACAAAAAATCGAGAATACTAAAAATGGTCAGGTCACAACCTCGCTGTTTAGCATGGAATGCCCCATATACCTACATATACTAAAACGTAAGCAAACAGCAAGTTGAGAGAAAAGGGGTAAATAATATTTTTCGCTTTCATAGCGTCATGATTACGTAAATTTTTTTCAAATTGGAACATCCTGTGCCTCGAAAATGAAGCGTTTCTGGGCACATATTTATAGGAACTATTTTTGCAAATTTGTGACATAAACTCGATTGCTAAAGTTTCGTTGAGTATTGTTTATACCTAGTTTGACCCGGTATACCTACCTATTTGATTTGCCTATACTAATAATTTACTAATACAATTTGCACATATTTGCATCATTTATTGTATTTACACATAATAATGTAATATTTATACACAATACGTAATACTTTACACATAACTTATCCCCTTTATTGCGAAAAAATATACTGTACAGGAAACATCCTGTAAACTACTAGGTATGTCCTCGATATCGTAACCCAAATAATAATAATAATGTTTATTCACATAAGCTTACAGTGGTCGTGAAGCGTCAAAATAGACTTGTTTACAATACATAAGCGTATATTAATAATAATACTTATTTAGTTCAAATTTATAAATATGTATCGATAAAATTATACAGCATTACATCAAATAATACATCTAGGACCTAGTTTAAAACTGTAGTTGAATTGTATAAAACAAAGTGATAATAAAATATTTTTTAACAAATTCATCACCTAGTTATTTAAAAAGAAATCATTTTTAGTATAATAACAGTTTGTAGACAAAAATAAGTGCAGTGGTTTCCTGTAGGTGTTGTAAATACTAATCTCTCTAATCTCAACGTAAAAATAGTTGAAATGCCTATTGCAGAAGTATGCGAATATAGAAAGATTATAATAATAAAATGTTTTAAACAAAAACAACAAAAATGAGAAATCAAATAGATAGTAATGAAATTCCGTAAGTCATTAAAAATATCGCTTTTTAAGCAGTAGGCATGTTTACCTTTCTATAAATATAGAAACGTATGTAGGTATATTGAAGCCAATTAGTACAATTAGCCTAAACGAATATGTAATAAAATAGCAGTACCACGTAATGGAAAGGTAATGGAAAGTGGGATAAATTAGTAAAGTTGTTCTAATTTCAATTTACTGTAAGCATTTTTGAAAAAAATCTGAAGTACAGGAATATCTATCACTTTATTTGAAATCCTATAAGAAAATTAGGTACCTACTAATGATATTTCAATATTGAAACGGTGACATTTTATGTCAGAGTTTTATACACATCAAAAACTTGTATTTTGATTACTTTTCAAGTAAAAGCGCCTTACAATTAAAAACAATATAATTTTCTAATTTAATTTTTGCATTTTTTTTCAAGAATATAGTTAACATTTTACCCGACTCTTTAAATTATTTAGGTTCGCACCAACTTTCGACCTAAACTGGTTAATTTTTTATATACAGAATGCAAATTTTGTTTGTAAAATATATCTAATATTTGTGCAAATATCTCTGAAGATATTTAATGTGATGAAACTTCAGCAAGTGACAAAAGGGGTAACGCCACTCTAGAGGCAAGAGCTGTCACGAGTATCGTTTGACACAATTTTTCATTTGTTTATTTTCATAGGGCATAGCCTGCCTCGTTATAGGAACAATAATGTTTATAAATACTCAGATATTTCAAAATAATGCAAGTACTTTTTAAGGACAATTTAATTTTGGTTTGGACTGTCAATATTATTTAGAGAACTAAATAAAGGATGATGTACTACCACACCTTCACTATTTTAGCAATAACTAAAACGAAAATAGATAACGACCTCCGGTTTGTGTATTTGTTTTCCTTAACCTATCAAGCCATGAAAAAAATCTATATCATTGCAATTAATTTTTTTAGTAAGCGGAGACAATTACAAAACTTTTCTGATAAGAATCGTCTACCGTTGGACAGGAAAATAATATTTTTATACCCATGTCATAAAAATAAATTTTATTAATAGTACTTTAAAATGAGCCGTCTTTTCTTGAAATCGATTAAGGCATTTAGAAGTTATGACAATTTAAAAATTTCCGAGATGGCGTCCTTTATACTGAAGTTGCTATGGTAATAACAAAAAAAAAGTTCAAACAAAACTTGTGAAGGCTTTAACAGTGTACCTAAAAGGTGTATTTTCAACATAGGTTATATAAGCGAAATTTCGCAATTTTCTGTGCTTTTATTAAAATACTTGCACTATTTATTTTTAAGTTTGCCCTCCTGGAGTAAACTTTTATGAAAAATCCTGAAATACATCAACTTTAGAATTTGATTTTTTTTACAATAAAATTATTTTTGTAAATATTTGATTTTCAAAAATTGTAATTTTTGTCGAGCAAATATTTGAAAAAGAATAATTTTTACCTTTATAAAACCTGGGGTTAGAAATACTGTATAGAAATTGTATAGAAACAGTGATTTCTTGAAAAAACTGTTTTTGGGAGTAAACTTTAGGGGTGCTTTTTACCCCCTTACAATATGGTGAAACCTCAATCAAATCGGTGACTGACACTTGGATAAACTTCCTTGTTAGTAAAGTCACCACTCCAAATTTCATCACTTTATATGACAAATATCTTCAGAGATATTTGCGTAAATGTTATATTCTTTAAAAAAAATAGTACCGTGTATTTTGGAAATTAAGCCGTTTACTACATAGGTACGTTTATACGAATTTTTCTTCGTAAAATTATCCAATATAATATATAATATGTGAAATGATCTTACCTTGATCCGGGTCTGAATTTTTCGTCGTACCACAGGCACATATGGAAAATAGTAGCCATGTATCTCTTATATGCTGACATTTCCGTACTTGACATATTGGTCATAACTAGTATATTTACAGATGAAGGTAACGTTAAAAGTGCTATCAGTCCTAGAAATTTACTTAAGAATAAACCGAATATATTCCTGTAAAAAAATTCTTGACCCCTAAAAAGAGCAAATAAAATTATTGTCAGGAGATATATTGTATTATATTGAAAAATTTGCTAGTACCTAATCTCAAAAAAAAAATCTTACTTTTTGAACAATTGTTCATCATAGTATGGTGGTAACTTTAAATTGTTATTGAAAGCATCTGAAGTTTCATCACAGGGTACTTTGCTTCCTTCATTCAAGAGATTTTCCACAAACTGTTCTGCTGAAAAATCTGAAAAGCACATATAGGTATTACTAAATATTATGATTATTGTTAGTTAAGCAAAATTAATCATTGCATAATAATACAAATAATTTAAATTTTTAAGATTTTTAAATTTAACCTTTTTTAAGTCTGAATATTACTCATATTATACGAAACGTAAACATAAATTTCACATTTACAGGATAATGACATACACCATAGTGACCTTGAACTTAATATAAACATCCAAGAGCTACAATAAACAATATTAAATGCTTTCTCCTGCTTCCACATGACTAGCGGCGCTAATCCTATTCTACTATATTTATCATTTGTTAAACGCCAGTGGCCATATAATGAATGAAACTACGGTTGTTACGTACTTCGATAAAAAGAAAAATATTGTAATAAGCATTTCTTCAGGGTCTTCATTTTAAATTAGTTATTATGAGTGTAAATATTGTTAAATACCGGTAGATTGTTATAACATCTTATTGCTAAAAAGCGGTATTACTAAATTGAATACTTGTGATGGTGAAATATTTTTATTGAATTAGTTTACAGTTTCATTAGGAAACTGATTAGGATTATCACCTTTACCTTAAGAAATAAAAGATATAATACGCGTACCTAGTACTTTGTTATTTCCTAACAGGTTTAACATCTAAGAACACTGTTGCTTAATTTTGCATCAATAATGACCTTAAGATGCCCGTGATCAGGGTTACATTGGTTTGTTTTTAATTTTATTTCTATATCAAGGTGGCTAAGTTGGTGATAAAAAAATACAAACGAGTCTACAAGGTTTGTCTGTTATAACATAAAAATGTTAATTTCAAGTTTACAAAAAAAAAATATAATTAATTAATAATAATTAATTTAATATAAAAGTTACAGATACTTCTTCAAGAAAAACCTGCAGAATAAAATTAATTGCTTTTGAATGATAACAAAGCAAAAATGAAGGTAAGTTTTACATACTAAAGTACCTAAAATATAGTATATGAATAATACAGGGTGATTCACAACTTATCCAAAAAAATTTGTAAACGCGTCATGAAAAATGGAGTCAATATCGTAAAAAAAAATATGTAAAATCCTTATAGCTCCCGAAAAAATATTGAAGTTGTAGTATTTTCAACCCTTAAATCGCTGGATTACTGTAATCTCTAGCGTCATTCGCGTTGTACGCTCTTTTCACGTGGACCCTGGCGATTCCGAATACTGAAATCCGATTTTAGTACTGACGTTTTTGCAATAGTGTTTACATTAGTTTTTCAAGTGCTAAAAATGACTTACGTGTATGGCAACTCGGAGTTGATGAATATTGTTTTAATTTATGGTGAAGCAAGATAACATTTTTATTAGCTTGTAGACGGATACAAATGTGTTTATAGTCGGTGGACAAAATTCTGAACAGCTGTTGTAACATTAGGTATGTCAAATTATTTTATTAATTATAACCACAAATTAATTTTATTAATGAATAATATCAATAGCGGCAAAAACAGTTGAATTTGCTTATACAAAATTTAATTTATTTCTTTCCGGACAAAGAAATTCTTTCAATTTTTTTGTCCGTTCATTTTTTATTACGCTTTGCCGCCGTGCCGGTCGCCGATTGCACTCTTTGCCTTGCGCAAGGTCAGGTTTTACAGTGGACCAGTTTCCAGTGCCGTGCAGAAGTGTATTTTAAATCATTTTCGTACTGCCCGTTCTGATTTTGTTTTTACAAAATTGT